GCAGACAGTTTCAGCCGGTCGAATTGGCAGATGGCGAATTGGCAGTGAATTGGCAGACAACTTCAGCTTGATGTCCTGTTTCCCTAAAAATGCTTTCTGTCAGCGAATTTCACTAGATTTTACCTGGAAAACATTGTAAAGCTCGCCAACAGAAAACATGGAGGAAGAAATCCTTTTTGAATGTGGAAAACCATTTCCGGTTTGATCGGCACGTTTTTAAAATTTCATGGAGTCAACGAAATCGTCACCAGCAAATCCTGCAAATTGAACACATCCTAAACAAAACAAAGAAATAGATACTCACAGACAGGATATATGGGTATATTGAAGTCATAACTACAGCCCATTCCAAATAATTGACAAAGCCGACCAGGAGAACCACTGCAATATTCGTCTTGCTCAATGCCATGTCTGCAATCTGCTACGTTCAGGTGAAATATGGAAACTGAAACATTTAGATGCAATTGTTTGCTGTCAAGTAATGCTTGATCAGAGAACTGGTTCAAAGATAAACCGAAATATTCTTTATCTCGGATTGATGCTTATCCGTTTTGTGTCACTTGCAAAATGAGTGAACTCTTAAAATAGTTGCGGGGGGTGGGGGGAAGTTATTTTCGCGAATATGAAAAAAGGTCATACAATTTCGCGATTCAAGCATTCTCAACTTCATTTTATTATTCAAAAGTCTGAACTTTTTAAAATTCCTAGATAACCGAAAACAAGCAAAACGCATTTTAAAGGCATATTTGAAAATTAACTTTTTATAACTTGGCCTAGTTCTGTTATTTCACAAGAGAAGATACAAAATGGAACTTACCCGTAAAACCAGCTAATACCTGGTGTATTTGTCGATAATATCCCGTACATGTTGTTGTTGTTACAAGTTTATCGTTGTTTTTTTTTTCCTGTGATTTGAATTTTCTGTATGGGTGTAAAATTTAAAATTTCGCGTGTTTAAATTTCGCAGTGTTTTTATTCGCGGGTCTTTAATTTCGCGATTTATTTACAATCAACTGGATTCATGTCACACACTGTTTTTGGATAAGACAATTTTACCTTGATAATCTGCAATGGACAGACGCTGTGAATGACGTGACTTGCCACCTACTGAGGCGCGCGGCGCGATCGAGGTGAGCCCGTTATTAAAATGTCCTGTTGATAACTGCTAAGACAATCTATATTCATATATTTTATTTCCTACAATCTATTTCTTTTTTCGGGGCGAAATAAAAAAATTAAAAAAATAGAAAAAATTTGGTTTGACTCGTGGTTGACTCGTGACTCGAGGATGACTTGGGCTCGTGGTTGGCTCGTGTAACGCTACAACTCATGTGACATCTTCGTTGCACAATCCCTTTTCTCGGAATTAACGGATGTGAAATCTGCCAGGTCAGTTCTTTTTATAGATTAATTGATTAACGTGGACTTTCCCTTGTAGCCAAGTGAATAAGAAAGCGACTTCGAAGTATTGAAGTCGAACATCGGTAGACACTTACCCAGGGCAATGTACCGATTATCGAGTCCTCGTTTTGCGTTCACAAGAGTGTTTCATGAAAACAAGCCCCCTTCGTCACTTCTATGCACAGCGACAAAACCAGAAGAGCATTCCCTGGAAGAAAATACTAGCCAGATCTCCAGTGATACTAAGGCAAGCCAGTTTTACTTCAGTTCAGTATTACTGTTTAAGGGTAGGGGTAAAGACCACAATTAAATATTTAGGACCACAAAGGTCACAATGCAGTTTAGCAGGACAGAGCCCGGAGCGCGATAGTCTGCGTGGCAGGCGTTCAAAGGGGAGGGAGACGGCGAAACTAGAAGTACGAAAAGAGTGCGATACACAATCACGAACCACGAGGGCGAATAGGAAGTGTGAGACACGACCTGAGTGTCCGATACATGAGCGCGAGGGCGAGCATACGTAGAATCTGTTTTTGTCACGAATGAACGCACGAGGGGAACACGAGAGGAACAAACGGCCGCGCGAGACATATGATCATTTTGCCCTCGCGCGTTCTTCGCGAGACTGCTCGCAGGCTGCTCTCGCCCACGCGCGCGTTTTCGCACTGCGTACCCTGTACTACAGGCCAACACTCACATTAGCTTCACTTACGTTCATGCTTTTCCCTTTCCCGGTAACCCCAAGATCACGCCCAAGGTCACATGACAGATTATGAAAAAAAATTGAAGGGTAGCTAATCTTAGTCGGAATAAAATAACAAACAAAACCACCTCTCTCCCCGAATCAATGATGAACTCGCGCTAATACCAAAACGCGCCACTTTATTATCGATCATTGAAATGGGGGGAGAGGTGGTCTCAATTTTAATTGTCCAAGACTGTAGATCCTTCACCGAAATATTTTCCTCGTTTTTAATTATATGTTTTAGTTTATATTTCTATTTAACTATGCATAGGGTTTGTTTTTCAACAAGATCATTTTTAATTTCAATTTTTTTAAAATTTCAGCTATAAAAGCTACGGCCAACGGGTGCAATTAATATTAATATTAAAATATTAAATTCGTCACGCAAGAATTAATTCAGCCATTAGGCCTTAAAAACAGCACACTACAGACTCTAACAAATAAGTTCAATAAAACGCAAACTGACAAAATAACGTTTTTTTCCTTCCAGTTATTAAAATCACGTTATATTAACGACTGAAATATTTTCCTATTTATAGGATGCATTGGGGAAGCAAGACTTGCAGAAACGAGTGCTACGGTGGGATGAAAAGCTACCAATTCCCGACCCTCCCCCTCTGAAAAGTCTCTTAGACTTTCTAGTGAGAAGACGAACACTCTCATGTTCATCTGGTTGGACGCGTACTTTTAACAAACTTCTTGTTCGGTCCACCTGTAGAATTTTGGGACTTCAACGTGCACACAAGAGGTGACAAAAATCAGCTTGTAATATAATCTTTACTATATACAACAGATAGACTCCATGTTGCCATGCGTCTGTTCAGAAATAGATCACAGATGACGTAAAAATGTGGTAAAAACATTGGTGGCATACTCGCCTAACGGCTCGCGTACCACTTTTCTGTTCTTACCACATTTTGACGCCATCTCTGATCTATCACTAAACAGATGCACGGCAACATGGAATCTGTTGGTTAAATCGACATCTTACTGTGGATAGATTTGTTTAAATGCATATGATATTACAACGCCACACATTTCTACTTTTTCTTTCGTGAAAGTGGGTACGGAAACTGTGAACTTATAAGCTGCGTGTTATTGCGTGGAAGAGACGACACTACACATAAGCTAACTCANAAATTTCAGCTATAAAAGGTGCAGTCAACGGGTGCAATAGAAAAGCGCAATTAATATTAATATTAAAATATCAAATTCGTTATGCAAAAATTCAGCCATTAGGCCTTAAAAACATTACACTACAAAGCTCTAACAAATAGGTTCGATAAAGAGCAAACTAACAAAATAACGTTTTTTCCTTCCGGTTATTAAACTCACGTTATATTAACAACGATTGAAATATTTTCACATTCATAGGATGCATTGGGGAAGCAAGACTTGCAGAAACGAGTGCTACAGTGGGATGAAAAGCTACCAATTCCCGACCCTCCCCCTCTGAAAAGTCTCTTAGACTTTCTAGTGAGAAGACGAACACTCTCATGCTCATCTGGTTGGACGCGTGCTTTTAACAAACTTCTTGTTTGGTCTACCTGTAGAATTTTGGGACTTCAACGTGCACATAAGAGGTGACAAAAATCAGCTCGTGATATGATCTTTACTATATACAACCGACATATACACGTTGCCGTGCGTCTGTTCAGTAATAGATCACAAGTGACGTAAAAATGTGGTAAAACCATTGCTGGCATACTCGCCAAATGGCTCGTATGCCACTTTTTTGTTCTTACGACATTTGATGTCATCTGTGATCTATTCCTGAAGAGACGCACGGCAACATGGAATCTGTTGGTTGAATTGACATCTTGCTGTGGATAGATTTGTTTAAATGTAAATGATATTACAACGCCACACATTTCTACTTTATTTTTTCCTGAAAGTGGGTACGGAAACTGTGAACTTATAAGCTGCAAGAGATGCACCCATGTTGAACGGTTCCATGCATGCAGCTTTTCAAATCAGTAAGTGCACTTTGGGTGAAAGGTTGAATTGAATCAAATGTTCCTCCAACATACCCCAACAGGGGCCTAGGATCAAACGGTTACAACATTTTCACCCACCTGAATGCTGGATCAAAATTGACCAGGGCTATGAAAATAAGAGGGAGCCTCGCTACGTTTTTCCTAGCCTGCGTACCCCGTCTGCAACACAGGCTACGTTTTTCCAGGCTTGTCACAATTAGCACATCCTTACTTATAGCGGAGCTCCGGCGACCCGAAGGGCCGCCAAGCGGAGCCCCATACTCATATCGGAAAGGAAAGGAAACACATGAGTTGATTTTCTCATGGTTATTATCGCTAGCGGTATTGCTCGTGGGCGCGTACGCACGACGACGACGACGGCGGAGTTGCCCAATATGGCGGCCATACTCCAAGTAATAGGTTGACAGAGACATGCAGCCTTGGTTTACCGTGTACTTCCTTGATATTGGACATCCACGTTATGATCAATTGACACTTGTCAAAACAAGGTATCCGCTGACCAGTATCACGTAACCATATCGCGGGCTCAAGTGTACAGCTCCTCGAGGTCACGTGTTTTTTGAAGTTGGCCGCTGACCAAGTGCTGGTTATCGATTGGATCGCGGGTAGGATAGTTCGGGAGCCGGTTAACGCTAACCCAGGATTAAAATTTAACCGAATTATAACTTTTTCTTCTATACAAATGATTTTTGCTGTTTTGTTTTGTGTATA